TAATTTTTTATAACATAGAATGATAAAGATATTACATTGAATTCCTGCTTTAATTACATTTGTAAAAATAAAATATGTATGTGAATAGAACTGGCAAGGAGAACTTAAAAGTCTTTTATTTTTAGGGCTTTTTAGACGGCTAGGAGTATGTAGCCTTTTTTAAAAATATATACTTGTGAATGTTTGTGGGCAAAACTGTAATAGTTCTATTATGTAAAATATGCAAAAAGTATAGACAGAAAATGCAAAAAGTATAAACGGTGGACAAAGTATAGACAGAAAATGCAAAAATTAAAGTTGTTGTATAAGGACGCCAGGCGTATGAATAAATTTTTTCCAATCTCATCAACCTTTACGTAATATCACTCCGTCTTTAGAAGAAAAAGTAATTCCTACCCCATAAAAAGCTCGGTTTGCTTTTTCTGGAATTTATGACATTAGGAGAAAAGACAGAACCGAAATTCGTTTCATGCTGCAATTATAGCTTTTGTCCAAATATATCCCTAGATGGAGAAAGAGTAGAAGGGCAAATGAATGCTGAGATTATTGAGGGCTTTTTAATTTTTATTTCCTTGATTGTTGCATTGCAAATCAAGAATGCAGGGGAAGAGCTTTGAATTGGTGTTCTCCCACTTCCTGGAAGCTCTGTCTTCTTTTTCCAAACGATAAAAATCTCCTCTTTGAAATATAAACTCATCTGGTTGTCCCTGAAACACATTAGTTCAAGATGCCAACCTTTGCAAAGCAAATCAGAGAGTATATTGAGAAAGAATTGTCATTGGGCGCTATGAGAGTTATTTAGGACACAGACTCTGTCTGGCTGGGTTGCAGCTGTAGCCCAGGGCCAGCAGGGTCATTGGGACATGCTGACAAGGCACTGTGTTCTGGGGACAGGGGGGAGGAGCCCCAGGGGGCTGGGAAGGGAGCCACAAGGCTTCCTTGGGCAAACGCTGCCAAGCTAGAGAAACATTACCCATCCTCAAGTAGCTTTGGCGCAGGGCTAAACACGGATTGCAAATGGAACCTGGTCCAAGCAGATCACTTCCGTGCAATTTCAAAAAGCAAAGTCAGGGGGCCAGGGCAATGTAACCTAAACATTGGTACCCCCATAATAGGCAGGAAAAAAAAAAGAAAAAAAGCAAAGTCAATCTGAGACTTGATAATGGTTCGAATCAGCTAGAACAAGGTGTCTCAGGGGTTGAGAGATTTGGGCCTCTCCCAATTCGGTTTATTGAATACGAAGAAATATCAAGTAAGGTTTAAAAATGCTGGTATATTTTCAATGTTCGCTTTGAAGATTAATAGTCATCTTCTTCTAAAGACGACCACAGGGAGGATTGTTTGAGCTCAGGAGTTCGAGACCACCCTGAGCATCACAGGAGAAGCTCATCTCGAAAGAAAAATTTATACATTCGAAAAAGGAAATATATGTATCTCCATTCATATACGTAAAATT